CCCCGCCCCCTCCCCCTGTGAAAAACTCATCTTGTGGTTTAACAACTACTACTGCACTACTAAACACCGAAATATAGGTATGTTCAGTCTTGCAGAGATAGGAGGAAATATTTTTCTAAGATTTATGCTCCCTTTATCTCAGTGAGCATTTCCTGCTGATTTCAGACTGATGCCTGGATCACTATTATGCAATATTTATTGCTTTTGTAAAAAATCACCACCCTTGTTTGTAACTCTCTCAAACAGTAACTTCAAGTCAATTTTTATCCCTAATTATACATGACTAACTTTTATATGAGTTACACATACATATAGAGTGTATGGATATATCTCAAAAATGAAGCTTAATGTAGCAGAAATCAATTAACTTTAAAACTCCAATTAACAAATGGAATTAAGCGTCTATTATCTCCATGTATATGCATACATAGCATCAAAAAACACGACACAAACCTGATCTTTGAATCAGACAAGGCAGACTATTAAACTTTCACAGAATCACCAAATCATCTAGGTTGGGAAAGACCTTGAAGATCATCTAGTCCAACCATTGACTGAACACTGACCATTCTCCTTGAAAGTAAAGTTGCCAGTTTTTCATATGACCTTGCAAATGAATTATTAACATATTCTGATTAACAATTATCTTTTTACTACCAAAACCCTATGAATTTTAGATACACACATGGCAGAACTTTATATGCTTCAGGAAATTGTGGGTAAAAAAAAGAAGTAAACAACTACTGTTTACTAGGATTGACAACACAGAAGGGAAAATGGACAGAAACATTCAGTAATGAAACACAGAACATTTTTCACAAATAAGCCATTCTACTAACTCTCACTCCCAACCCTCAGAGGAGTCCTACAAAACACTTTCAAATGCAGAACTTAAGAACTACAAGCTGTAACTCTACCAAATACTACCGTGAGTTAGTTCTTATGGCATAGCCCTATGTCCTTCTTCCTGCAGAACAGAGTTCTGTAAGTGACCCTTACTTGCTTCACAGCTTTACTACCTCTCTTCTTCCAAGCATCTCTCCATACACTAGAAATAGCATTTTCCCTTCAAATTATCTCAGTAAACATAACACAGCTGTTTTCAGTTGCACTTATTCTGATGTTTGCAGCAGAAGAAAGCATTATATGTTCAAAAGCTTGTCTGCCTTTTCCATCTATTATCAGTTTGTCTAACAAAATTAGCTATCTCTACAAAATCTACCTAGGTTCTGCTGCTGAGCATCATAATTTAACTCATTTTTCTGGATTTTAAAAGTTGTATTTCATGTTCCACATACAACTGATTATTCAAACCAGACAGTGTACATTCCTTATTTGGGTCTGCAAAGCTGACAAATTTTTGAATATTAAAGCTGTTGTGTTGCCCAACCATTTAAAGACCTCCCCTAAAATACCAAATAAAGTACCTGTACCATCCAATGTCTCTCTACTACATTGAGAATTTATAAGACAACCTAGCACCTTCATATTGAAATTCTCAGTAAATAACAAACAATTAAAAGTCTACTGAGCAAAACTTCAGGAATACATAAAGGCTATGAACAACTACAGCTGCTGACCATGAGAAACGAAAGACAGCAATTTTAATAAGAATTGCTATGTAGGTTTCATCAAGTGACAACACTAATATTGAGCTACTTATTGATATGTACTCTTAAGGTCACCTTATTTATCTTCAGGATGCTGACATGTAATGTTAAAAATTACAAAACCAGCACATTTAATGCTTAAATTACATTTCAAAGAAATCCAAACACAGAAAGATATAGAGATTTGTCTCTAAGGCCCTCAAATTAAGTTTACTGCCGATTAAAACAATCGCATGATGAGGAATTAATGCTTACAGCCTTTAATTGAACTGATTTTTAAGTACATGCTTGATTGTAAGCTTCCCTGAACATATTTCATAGTATGATTTAATAGTGTAAAACTTAGTAATGAACATAATGGGTGTTAGACCTATGGGCCATCTAGTTCAGTTATTTCTTTTTGACAGATAGAAATATCAGACATTTTCAGAGCAAAGTAAATTAATTTTAGACTGATATGGGGTAGGGCAACATAAATTCCGAATACCCTTGGTCATTACTGTATACAGATTTATTTTATTTGCTGAAGTATGCATCTGCCCATCTCTTCCATAATTCACTTACATAAAAAGAACCGTTTCCATACAAATGGAAATCTTGCAAATGTCTTTAGTCTTGAGGATCAATCATTAAAAGATCTGCTTATCTACAACTGTTACTCTTATGTTACCCATATGTGGCTTTTTTTTCACATTCATTGCAAATACATCCATTTAAATAGTGAAAGCAAGGTAATTTTTTTCCTCAATAATATCCAAAGGGGTGTAGTGACAGGACTGTGACATCTGTATGCATTGTAGACAGCCCTAAAAAGCTAGCCCTTTCCCCTCTTAGGATTTCAGAGACTGAGAAAACCTGACTCCTTCAGGCACTCCAGTAAACAAATGAAGAAGAGTGAGTCTAGAATACACTGAGAACATAGGCCAAAGAACAGAGAAGAAACATGTTTTTCTTGTCTATATATAAATTTACACTGTGGGTGACATCAAGCAATGTTCCATACCAACTAACAGAAGACTCTGGGAACAAGGTGCCCAAGAGTCCTCAGGTCATTCAAGATCAAAGGACTATTATTCAAAGCATACATAGAAAGTATGTTCTAACAGCAGCAGCTCTACAGATATTAAGAACAGAGACATCCTACAGACAGGCTGTTAATGTCACCTGAGCCAAGATCAAATGCGTTACACCTGACACAGCAATTACATCTCTGTACCACACAACTGACCATACAAGAAATAAGACTTCCTAAAGATTTTATTAACTGGTAAAAGATGAAAAGCACACTTAAGTTACCCTAACAAGAGTCTACTGTAATCAAGTGTATAATTTTTGCACACTCACTTCTCATCAGTAGTATGTTTGAAAGGAGTACTGCAGAACAAAACCTGCCCATAGACAGGCCTCTGATGAGGCAATTATTGAGGTAAAGGCAAAATCTACTCCTCCTTTCTCAAATAAGTGGTAATCAAGGAAGACCTCATTGTTTGTGGAAACTACTATTGACATAGCATCACTACCTAGTAGCATTCAGTAGTGAAAGGGAGTCTTGACTCAAATACTGTTGATGAAAGAACCTGATTGTAATTAAGTTCAAGGCAACCTGCAGGTCAGAAAAAACAAACCATACCCTACCAGTCAAAATCTCCTGGAACATCAGTTTCAGTTGATGAACTGAAGAAGGAGAAAGAAAGGATACTCTCCACAGCTTGAAACTTACCAGTGACAAACAAAATGTTGTTAAGTACCTTTAGGCACACTTACTCCTTTACTCAGTGCTCCTCTAGTCAAAAGTCGGGCTTGGAGGTTGAAAACAGATATCTATCAGCAATCATTAAACATACCAAGCAGACAGCAGGTGAAATAGTAGAAAGACTGAGAGAATATGGGATTTCTCTGACAGAATCAGAATAGGAAGAAGGGAAAATAATTTGGTATTTGCCTCTACAGACTCTAGAGAAATAAAAGTAATATTCTTTTAATGTTTTGAAATTTTGCTTTTGAAAATATCTGTATGAAAAGCAGTATGGGTGTGAATCTGAAAGCACCAAGTAATCCCTTACATTACTACAGAAAACAGGAAAATGTGTCTACTAGTTCTACTCCGCATTTTTGTGTATTATTTTATTCCCATAGCAAAGAATCGTAATTTAGTTTTTCCATGTTTGCATCTTTTGTTATCCTTCTCTCTGCTCTCCCTAATTCTGAAATGTCCCAAGTATTCTGCATGAAGACTATCTGTAAGACCATGTCAGTTTGTGTTGGTTTTGATACTACTACCTTTGCCAATTATGGTGTCAAAATTATTTTGCATCTTTTACTTTTGTGTATAGTTTGTCATACAAATATTACTTATAGTAGGGATACATGATAGTAACTGAAAGATACACTTTGATCTAGTGAAGGAAATCTATTATGTTCTTTTCCTGCCTAACTTGCAGCAAATGGGCAAACTTACTTCATTACTGAATTTTCAGCAGCAACAAGCAAAACATAATTTTCCCGTGTTAGTATCAACAGTGAAATTTTAAACTGGCAGTGATCAAAGAAATGTCCTCCATGTTTATGTTGACAGGTAATCTCAGTAGCAAAGAACTCATAAGCAAGAGGCCAAATTTCACCTCCTCCAACATCTCTGCTTAGAAAGCCAAATGTAACATGAGTTCAGTTTTTCTCCCCCCCCATATCTGAAACAGAGTAATTATTTACATTCCTTTAAATACAGCTCTTCTGGTGTCTATAATACTGCAAAAGCAGTGGAATGTATTATTACTCTGCTTGCTAAGTCAAAAATTTTGCTTTAATGCAAGTGGTTCAGTTTCTAATAACTCAAAGTTAATCTCCTGAACCACACGGACACCAAAGAAAGAAATCCTCTTAGTGTTCTGTATTACAACTGCATTATTTTACCTTTTAAAAATACTACACTTGAGATGCCATTTTACATAAAAATTATTTCAAAGTTTTCTCTTCATAACTTCTCTCTATACACTGAAAAGTGTTTCAAGTGCATGTCCTTAATGATCACAGTAACATACTGTACAATTAAACAATTAAACTTAAGGAGCCATTTGCTTGGTAACTTTTAATAAAAAATTTCCTCTGTGAAAACCCAAGCTGCTGAAAATTCTGATATAAAAAGACAACTAAAACCATACACTGTAGCTGCAAAAGTTTTCAAGTTTTTAAAGCCTAAATGAAATATTTGAAGAATGTAAACAATCATGGAAATAAGTGACATGGAATTCTCATCTGT